GAGAGCAGGGACGGTGACTGTAGTCAGATTTGGTGAAAGTAGACGAGCAACCACCTACCCCACTTCAAACTCTCTCCCCGATTGAACCGGTTACAAAGACAAAGTCGAGATGACCGCGCAGGAATTCGGCGCTAGCCGCTTTCTCCAATGCTGCCAGAAAACACCGTTTAAATTAGTCTGATGTGACAGTAGCCTTTTGCACTCGGAAAGAGGTTTTGGGGTCCAAGGAATGGCCTGTATCTAGTAGATATTCAGTAATTAATGAGCGGGAAGTTCTGTTTTCTTGTTTCAACAACCAGCTGGGTAAGTGCTCCTGGGCTCTGGTGGCCAATTGCCTTTGAGTTCGCCCTAAGTTCTTGCATCCGTAAGTGCATGTAAATTCATAAACACCGTTTGAAGTGGCGTACATCGGCAAGGCATCCTCCGAACAAGGAGTTGGTAAGAGCTTGGTTGGATTGCAAATTATAAGTTCAGCAGCATAGTATGTCCTTTCAATAGCATTTTGCTCTTAACACAATCTTCATAAGAACGTTATCTTTCATCGATTACCGAACAGTTGCTAGGTCCGTGCCATTCTGTGGATCCCAACACTTCTTTCCAAGTACTCGTTCGGGCACGAACAACTCGTACCTTTTGCTACCTGCAGGAAGCCTATATGCGGTGGTTTAAACCCGACCTATGTAAACAGTTAGAGCATGTGTTGCAGCTAACTTTTCCACGGTAACACCGGCTGCCAACTTTTTGCCTTAGACCTTTTGTTTCCCCCGTTTTGCTGCCCACAATGTTTTAACATACTTACGTTGTTGATCAGCCTTCGTGGCCATTTTCAGTGGCCTTGCTTTTGGCATCGATTTTCCGTATGAATTCATTTTCGTATTTTTTTGTTACGTTTTTCACGTTACGCAACGCAGGGAAGCAGCTGGTGAACACTCCCGAAATTTATGGATCCAGTAAATCTGGGCTGTTTATGCACTCTTCAAAAATACATGGCTTGTACCCCTAAATGACTACTACATGGTCCTTTTATCTCCCACAAATGTGTATACAGTCCAATTCTTTCCTGAAATCCATTTGTGGGAGATAAGAGCAACGCGTAGTAGTCATTGGTGGTTAAAATCCATGTTGTTGTTGCCCATGTCTTTGCACAGATTTATGACGTTAAACGCGCCGTTGGTGAGGGCATAATTACATCTGCATGTTCCGGACAGGGCAAACGGAATGGTTCTAAATGGCTCCAAAGTTCACGACATTAGTTGTTTTAACGATCTTGGCTATCTGCCGGGCTCTGGTATAGGCAATGTTATCGGTTCGGCATGGTCGCTGCGGTTTGATGCTAAGCCACAATCTTAGGATGGCTGATAAAGCCTCATTGGATGGTGGGCAAGGCTCGAGGGGTTTTAGTTGTTGCTGAAATAAGTGCAGTTGAAAAATAATATCTAGCTTTTAGTACATAGGTTTGTTTGATGGTTTATGCCTGTGGATAATATAGATATTTAGGTGTAAGTCTATCCACCGCAGCGGAAAAACAGCGTAAAATTAATTAAACTGCCAACGGGCAGTCAGCGGCATGCAGTATATTTATTAATTTGGGTCCAGATATCATTTCGTGTTCATCAACCTCGGAAGAGGAAGAAGAAGAAAAAGGGGCAAGTGCTGGGACCAAATTGTATTTATGCTGACGTTTCGAAAACATGCTCGTTCTCATCGTCAGAGCTTGGTGCTTACTCTTCCGCCGGCCTTTGACGGGGCGCTAAGGCGGGCGAGTGACGACACACGAAACCAACGGCCAACATCTGCGAGGAAAGGTAGCAGCGAAGGAGGTGGACCAACTCAAGGCCCCTTCCG